GAACGCTGAAAAGAAGACCGGTAAGGCGTGCGCTGGTAGTTCGTGAGTAGACTGTAGCGTCCGCGTTCCTCTGGAGCGTAGCCACGTTGCTCGTCCTGTTGACGCCTTCGGCAAAAGCGAGATATATGACCCCTATAGCCGCAATAATAACAGATTGGGAGTTGAGAACGCGGCATGGCGTAATACGGCTGTGGGCGCATCGGTGGTGACACTGACGCCACAGGTACATGGCCACCTGGTATAGCCATTGGGACAGTGGTGGGTGCTGAGAGCACCGTGAATTCTGGGTGAGTTGGTACCTGACGAGGTCTGGATTTGGCGGAACAAGGTGAATGTGACGCAGATGCAATCTCTTGCCAAATAATGTCTCGCAAGTTGGTTGGAGCTCAGGCCAAAGTTGACGGTGGAGCGCAGGAAGAGCAGCGCCCATGAAGCTCCTTACGAACGATGTCACGGACCAGGGCACGGATGTCAAGAGCCGCAGGAAGACGAATGTCCGAAGCATCATGGCAAAGACGAAGAGACTGAAGTTTTTCTAGTCTCTGGCAAATGGTGATGACATCTTGAGTCGTGGTAGGGTTTTGCAACGCAAGGGCGCTCAATGCGACAGTATTTATGCCTTTTGGTAATATGGCGTATTTGGTCGCTTTGAGGCATAGCTGAATTTACACGCTTGCACAAGGCAAGAACATCCTCAATGTACGAGGGGTATGATTCACCCGCCAGCTGAATGTGTTGCTGCTTCAGCGTGAACACTGGGGGGAACCGAAAATCTGACGGAGCTGCCGTGCGAACGTGTCTCAGGCGGGAAGATCTTGGAGGTGGTTCCAAAACCAGCTATTGGCAACATCAGTTAAGTAGAAAGGAACCGTACGCAACTTGTGTAGAGTATCCCACCTGTTCAACTCGCTGACGAGGTGGTAGGTGTGTAGCCACTATTTAACGTCATCCCCTTTGAGACCCGAGAATACTGGCGGATCACGCTGGTGGCTGTGGATGGCCAGGGTCGACAGCGGAGGCTGCACTGGGCTGGTGGTGTTGGATAGACTAGGATTGTCTTGCACTGCCATGGCAGGTGGTAGTAGACGACGACCCAAGCGGAGCTCCAGTGGTAACGTGTGAGAGGACTTGGGGATCGAGAAGCGCCTCCACCACTTATGAGGAAGAGCTTTATTCGAGGCGAGCTCGAGCTGGCACACACTGATGATGATATCTACAGATGAGGAAATTATACAAATGATGATGACCCGACGAAATGATAAAAAAGAGTCGGGGACTGCGCTCACAATATATATATATATATATATATATATATATAGATATATATATATATATGCAGCACCGGGGAGATTTGATGCAGTAGAATGCCGTCTGTGTACGTGTTTGTTTCGAGTATTTGGAATGATGTGGCTTGTTCAGTCACGTTGGGGTGAGGTGGCGAGTACACCCTGCGAGCGGGGCAATGGTGTTGGAGTATGGCGTTATATGTCAGTAGTACAGTCTCCACTGTCAGCATTATCAACCCTGCTAGTTGAGGCAGTTTGCATCATGCAGGCTTCGCAGCTGGGAAGCAACAATACTTTGAGGCAAACTAATCGACCTAACTGCAAGAAATCTACAAAATCTGGGCAGCAGTATATTCACAATTTATTTTTAATGTTCACCTTCTACCTAAAACAACTGTCAGAATTCCAAACAGACTTTCCGATTTCAACATTAATGCCTAGTTTACACTGAAACATTCGCTTTCTACAGCGACCGAAATTCCCCTGCCGCCGAAACGCAGCGTAGTTCGCACTGGACGCGCCCCGCACCGCCGAATATGCCATCTACTACGGGGCGAACGCGGGATGGATGCGCTGTCACCCGGTTGTTGTCGCGGCTCGCAAACGCTACAACGCTATCTGGTGGTGTATACTTCGACGATTCTCGTACGCAAGAAGCAAGAAAAGACACTACTGCTTACTTTGCTGGCAAGTAGCTGTCTTGTAATGCACGTAGAGCAGAAAAACCAGTGACGCCAACGGCGTTGGTGGATTCGTTTTGCTTCGCAAGACCGCAGCAAGCTCGGTCACGCCAACACCAAGCTCGGTCACCTCTTTCACGAAATACGGAGGCGAAGTAGGCACAGAGTAGGTTAAACTCCCGTTGGTTTCAACATTCAGTTACGTGCACTGCGGCATAACAAGTGAGTAGGGCTTGGGCGCCATTTTTCGAAATTCCTTGACTAGCGCTCCTATTGGTTTGCGGTGACCGATTCGGCGGCAGACGCCGCAAAAATCGGTCCGAGAGCGATCGGCGCGGAGAGGGCCCTTTCGGTGGATCTCGCTGCCACCGAACCGGATTCGGAGCACTTTCGGCGGCCGGAATGCTCAGTGTGAACGCGGCCTTATTACAATGTTGATGGGAAGCAGACGCTGACAGATAAACCCGCGGAATTTCTTAAATTGTGCTAAGTAACGTCCCCTTAGCGCAGCAAAAGTATGCTTCGGGGCGAATGCTTTTTCGGTAAGTATTAGGATGATTTCACATGGCTACGATTACTTTTTGAGCAATGCATAAGGTATTCAGGTCATCTAACGATGCGTCGAAAAAATGCGACCTCGATGTCGCTCACTGTATGCTTTGACTTATGTTTTTTTTTTTACTTCCGAATACAAGTTTATTGTAAAAGGCATCAAAAGTGATAAATTAATGTAGTAAGAATCCTTTTTCTTTCTCCAGGGTATCATTTTAATAGAATATAAAGTTCCGTTAGCCGGAATACTTGGATGAATGATGCAACGCTGAAGACAGACGTAAAAATATAAAAAGAAACGCGCGTGCTGTCTATGTTGTGCTTTTACATGTTCGTCCGTAGCGCTGCATTAGTCATGCGCGATTTTCGTGTGACTGCTTTTCAATCCGCATCTTGCGTTTTTCTTTATTTGTCTCGGAAGCAAAACAGCCATTCGCAGACTATATAAAATAATCGTGCAGGCCATCTCAGCAGAAAATAGCCCTGTATTTATGTTGTCCAATGCTTGTTTTGTGTTATTAGTTGTAAAATAATATACCGTTGCATAACTTGCTCTCATCGAGTCACTAACATGTCATAATATTACCAGCCTAAAGTGTGTTCAAAATTGTCCCCCTACTGTACATTCCATGTATGCTTATCATCGTTGCTTCAACAGCGAGTACCAATTAAACTAAGCAGCTCAGTGCGCAGCGACAGTAATGAATTATTCTCAGGACAATTTTTATTTTGTAGCACGTGCGTAAGTGATTTATTTGGCAATAAGTTTGATACATTCAAGTTCGAAGTCAAAATGGCATATACTACAAAACACAAATAAGGTGGCAAAAATTTAAGATTATATATTCAGTCTTTGCGACCACGAAACAGGAGGCGCAGTTTAAATAAAATTCCCGGTAACCTGTAAGGCAAAGATAGCAAAATATCACTAACCATAATAGCAATATTCTAACAATAACACACTTACACAGGGCGATGTATAATATTATGACACATTCATGAAAAGGAGGGAAGGAAGGAAGGAAGGAAGGAAGGAAGGAAGGAAGGAAGGAAGGAAGGAAGGAAGGAAGGAAAAGGAGAAGACAGGGAAATTCACCAGAAAGACATCCAGTTGGCTACTCTACGCTGGGGGTGGACCAGAATGATGAGAAAGAGGGAAGAGAAGGAAAAGAAAAAAAAAAGGAGAGACTTACATTAATTTCACTGCAGCGTGTAGAACTCCACCGCATTTATGAAATACCTTTGCAACATGGGCATCTATATTGTGCGAATGATTTGGCGGGAAGGTGATGATGGTGTGAATTTGTTTTTCCTTGAGTGAAACATTACGAAGTTCCGCTAAAGAGGAGAACAGTCAACCACTAAAGCTCACAGGCAATGAGCGCACGTGCCAAACTGCTTTTTCACGCCGCCTAGCAGTACGCCTAGCAGGCACGCAGAGCCGGAAATGGGTCGTACTCATTATATTCATTGGGCTTTCGGTTTTCGGCTGTCACGCTGCATAGTGTTATTTCCCAGTTTTCACGTCAAACGTTCATCTATGATAAGACCATCACACTTCCTCCTCAATGGCTAAATCAAACATATCATGACGTGCTTCAAACAGCGTGCCGTTGGGTCTACGTCACTTTGCAAGAAAGATTGTTAGTTATAGTAGTGGTGCTGAATAACTGGTTTCGAGACAGAAGCAAGTAACCGAGGCTACTGAGAAGTGCGTCCCGTTAAAGCGTGAAAAGGGGAAAGTAACGGCGTCCAGTCAGAAAACAGAGAGGCCATCAATTAAGGGAAGGATAACTCCTGGGCTCTGCAAGCCTGTCAATCGCCGTGACGAGGCTGCTGGCCAAACGCTCGCGAGGTTCGTAAACGTTTGTGGTTAACTGTAGAAATGTACGGGCAAGAACATGCCATGAACAAACAACTTATTCCTGCTAAGATGCCTTATTAATGGTAGCAATGAGTTCAATGTAAAGATCCTTAAATATGTGTTCATTGTGTATGGTTTTACATCCCGAAACAACAATATGATTATGAGAGAAGCCAATAGTGAAGGGCTCTGTGAATATCCGCCACCTCCACCTCCTTCATTGACATTGCACAGTATGCATGAATCTTTCAAATTTTGCCTAGGTCAAAATGGGACTGTCGCACTCAGTATTGAACCCAAAATAACTCCTTTGGATGGGCCTCTTGTGCCGTTTTCAGTGACCGTTAGTACCACTAATGGCACACAGCTATTGTTATGCACATTTCTCAAGCGCACATGGTTAAGAATACCAACCCGCTGGTCGTGCAGGCGCATTCCCCATGGAGGCGACAATGCCTAATACTCAAGTACTGAATACTAGGCGCACGGTAAAGAACCGCAGATGATCGCAACTTACGAAGCCCTTCACTATGGCGTTGTTTGTAATGTTCTGTCAGTTTTCAAAATGTAAACCTAAAAAATTATTATTTGACGTGTTAGCGACGCTGCAATTTTCGCAGTAAGTAATCTTGTTACTTACTATGGTGAAATCAATTACTGAAATTGGTAGCGGTTCTACGTGAAATGTGTCCAGTGGTATATTTTTCAGTGTATAGTCCATGACACCACCCGTGCTTTTGTTTGAGTAGCCAATCGCGAATCCATTGCTGTACACCTTTATTAAGATACCTGTTTCTCCAATGGAACGAAGTGTCTTTATTATGGAAATGTTCACCAGTTTCATAAATATTTGAATACTGAAATAGAAATAACATGTGACGCAGTTAGCTTGACACTGCTGAATATTTGTTGCCCAATCATACAGAAAATAAATCTAGATTCCTGGCGTTAGCGAAACACTGCATGGTAATACTACAATGCATACCTGTCTATTCTTCCCGTAATTCTCTCTTCAACAGGTAGAAAAACGTTAGGAAGAAGGGTCATACAAAATCAGCTTTAAAAACAAAACAGTGCGTGAACGTATTTTCATTAGCCAAAATCACATACGTACTTATCCGTGGAAGATTGTCTCCTCAAAACAAAATTTTTATTTCAAGCAAAGGCTTATTTCGTAAAAAACTCATGTACGTAAACCGTGAATAACTACCGTCATCAAATTAACCTTATCGCTAAGCAATTTTTGAGAGGCTTTATATTGCCATACAAACTCACTCGATATCCCGTGTCCACTTGGCTTGTATTGAGATGTATCCGCCACTTCTTATACGGACATTTTCTTGGTTGTAGGCGAGAGATGGCTGCAAGATAACACGTCAAGACGTTGTTATGCATGCCTGACGCAATGCTTACCACTGAAATTGGAGATCTTGATCTTCTCCTTCAAGGGTATAAGGCAAAGCCTTAAACAGGTGGTGCGTCGTTTGCCGCAAACCTTTCTTATAGCTCGAGGAAGAAGAAGAAGAAGAATGAGAAGAAGAAGAAGAAGAAGAAGAAGAAGAAGAAGAAGAAGAAGAAGAAGAAGAAGAAGAAGAAGAAGAAGAAGAAGAAGAAGAAGAAGAAGAAGAAGAAGAAGAAGAAGAAGAAGAAGAAGAAGAAGAAGAAGAAGAAGAAGAAGAAGAAGAAGAAGATATTTTTTATTTGTCGCAAAAAATATACTCGCATTGAGGTAGAATATAGAGAAGGAGGTCCCATAGCACAATGCTGAAAGGGGACCTCCTGTTAGAAAATGACATGTTGATAAGTACAACAAAATGGCAACAAAAAAGCGATTAAGTAATTATTGATAGTAACAAAAACAACGCAAACATGCAATAAAACACGCCAGTAAAAATGGTAACAAAACAATGTTCAGTAATTGTGCATAACTATGAAAAGAACGAAACATACAATAAAAATGGCAGTAGAATCGGGAACGAAATGACGTTAATTAATGATATACAGCTATTAAAAGAACTCCAATGTGCATGGGTAATAAATATGAAAATAACGCACACAGTAATAGCTGTAAATGTAAGAGAACGCCGATATATAAATGAAGATGAGTTATGATTGCGAGATGAGATGTTTAAGTTCTTTTTTAAAAGCAGCTAATGACAATTGTTTAGTGCTTAGTGGTACTGAATTCCAAAAATGGATAGCTGCAAATATGGTAGTATGCTTGCCGTAGTTAGTGCGTGCATGTGGTGGTAAAATGTTGTTGTTTGAGGCAAACCTGGTAGAATTAGAGTTTAACAATTGAAATTTCTCTAAAACGTTGACTGTTATGGTACCATTAGGACACTTGAATACAAGAATCCCCAATTTATATTTAAATAAATTACATACTGTTAGTACATTATGCATATAACAGGTACAAATATTGATATGTTACCGTTTAATAACTTGATATTGTCTCATATATGCGAAGAACGTTCGGGTTTGGTGTCTAGGCAACAAGTGGAGCAGTGGTGTAGCAGTGTAGGCCTCTTGCTGAAGGGACCACACAAACCTGGGACGCGCGTCGCGCTGAGTGTCATCTGCTCTCGCATACGCGTGCCACACAGGCACCGGCAAAGCAAATGCACCGACAGTTGCTACGATACCAATCGGGAGTGACGCAGGAACATCGACGTAGCGCAGGTACGAAGGTCCGTCGTTAGAAGTGGTAATTTGGTGTGACGTCACTCACTTGCGTAGCCCTTCTTAGAGAGCTACGTCAGTTCTGTACGCACGAGTGCTAATTCTCGATTAGGAGAATGGTATTTAGGTAGGCTTGGGAAGCAAACTCATATATATTCTATACGTTTGCTGTGCACTGGCCTCCGTGTGCAGTGTCCCTGCTTACACGCAACACTAACAACTGGGTCGTTATAGACTCAAAGTTAGATGGCACCACCCTTTTATGCCGACCCTGTGCACATAGACTTTTGCTAGCAAACCTATAGCTTCGGTTTTTTGTAAGGAAATGAACGTCTGGGAGCGCAACAATCGCCGTGTCATACTAGCCTAGAATGCTTACTGCAAGTGAATTTTACAAGTGACCACTTCATCATAACTCTTCCTTTTGCGAATTATTTAGGGGCCGACTCTGCCTCCATGAAGCTGCACGCAAACCTTCGCAGCCGTTCACTTTCTATATTTTTACAGCTGATGACGATTTTCTACGTCTCAGTGCTTTATATTTGGTTCTCCTTTATGATACGCAGTCATTGTGAAATTTCCTTGCTCTAAGGCCTGGCGTGACCCTATGGTTGTTGCATGCAATACTATAGGTGTGTTGAGGTGACTTCTTCAACTACATGACATTAACCTATTGTTTTTTTGTGTGTGAAGCAGTTTCATGCAGTAGCATAGCTCTCAAATAAAAAAAACTCCACACCGATAGCCTGGGCTGCAATATCGCTAGAGCAGAACATTGCTAGGATTATACTGGTCGAATCGCAATGAAGCCTCCATATTGGCGACAAATGGTGAATTTTACATAAAGCACTGATATCATGCGCTCTTCGTCAGTGAGTGATGTCCGTTAACTGAAACAATATTCGATAAAACAAAATTTCAAAGGTTGAACAGTTCAGCCATCCCACAAGTTGGTTGACGTTACCACTGCGGCTTTGGTCCTGCACGGATGAAGATCATTGCAATAATACACACTAGATCACTGATGACGCATACTACGCTTGAAACGTTTCCTTATATAGCCGTCAATCAAGATTTGGACATGGAGAAGAACATTCACATGAATACCCCCAACTACTCTTTCGGTGAAGTTGACCACGAGTATAAAGCAGTGGACCTTTTTTGTGAAAAGTGTCATTCAGTACGTATCTTTTTCCCTAACACACTACTAGACTGTCATCGATCAGATGCGTCTGTCACGATGAGGTGATCTTAGTTTTTTTTTTGCGCAGGTAAACTATTTCTTCATTTATTACAGTTACTGATCACTTGTGCTACTGCTTGTGTGCTAATAAGTAGGTATTTTTTATTATTCTTCGCGTTAAAGTACTAATCACTTCAATAGCACAACATAATTTCTTCTTGCCTTGATGAGCAGCTTCCTGTATACATCATATGTATTTATGTATGATGTTTCGGATCTCCTACTCCTTGCTATCGCAGTGCATGCTTTGAATCCCCCTTTCTCTAATGACATGAAACATCGTGGGCGTAAAGAATAAATAAGTGTAAATAAATAAATAAATAAATAAATAAATAAATAATAAATAAATAAATAATAAATAAAAGCAACCGAAGGGCTCCCATTCACCCAGTATATCACTCAACTTTGTGTGAAAGTGGACAATATTTATACATAATAGTCGCTAGCATGCACTGTTAGGTAGTTTTAAAAACTGTCAGATCTTTGTACTAAGACTACTACAAAATGTATCAGAAGGTTTTATGACTTGATTTCTCTTTAAAATATTATTTCTATTACAAATGGTTACTTGCCCAATGTCAATTGGAGTCGTAGTTAATTTTACGCCCTTCTCAATGGCAGTTTAGAAGTCAGGGGTTTTATACCACATGAGCAGCTAGTCCTATAGTTGAAGAATGTGCAGGCTTGAAAAAAAAAACATATGGTACAGTATTCTGCGTTCCGATCTAGATGCAAAATATTCTAGATGTCAAATTATTCTTCATATTAAATGGCAGCAGATAAAACTAAACAGCTTGAGTCAGCGTATGACTACAGAACAAGTTATTACGTTAAACTGGACGAAATAGTCGGTTGCGGTGAAGTGGCTTTCCCAAAATATGAACTTTGAGCCCGCTGTTGGTCCGGAATAAAATATTCTCATCGGGTCGGTATCTCTGTACACACTGGCAGGTGGAAAAACCAGCTCGCCATCCAGGTTTACCTGCAGGTGTAAGAGGTGCTTCCGTTGAAGCTATGACAGTATTGTAAAAAAAACACATTTTTTATTGTTGTAGCGAGATATTTTTTATTGTAACTTTCACATTCATGTAGCAAAAAACTTCGCAAACACTTGTTTGGTCCCATAGCCTAACTGGCTAGTAGAGGGACCAATTGTGTGACATACCTACATACTTGCGCAAGCGGTTACGCAGCGACAAAGGACATCAAACTGGATACAATGTTTAAAATAGAAAAAAAAGCAAAAAAAACACATGAATGAACTAAACAAAGAAACATAGCGCAGAACATAGCTACTTACAGCACAGAATAATAATAGCACTAGAATATTACTAATCATAAGACTAATAATAATACTAAATGACTATGCAGACGTAATACTTAGAAAGTTCGCATGAAGCGCATGCGTCATGGCCAATGAAAAATTTCTAGCCTCTTTCACATCAGTCGGTATCGCATTCCATATGAGAGCGCCGCGAAATTCTATGAGCCTTCGACCGTAAACATTTCTGGCTACCGGTAAATTAAAACAGTGATTCACTGCAGCTCTTGTACAGCGCGCGGGTAACGTAAAGGTGCCTAATGGGAAAGGGTCATCACGTTTTATTATTCCATGCACTATATCAGCAACACTAAACACGTGAACAGAGTCCAGTGGAAGTACACGCATCATTTGAAACAGTGGTTTTGCAGTATCCGTCCTGTTTGAGTATGTAATAATCCGGACTGCCCTCTTTTGCAGGCGGCTAATACATTTCAAATGAGTTTTATATGTACTGCCACACGATGCTATACAGTAGCTCAAGTGACTGTGCACGAATGTAAAATATAGGATACGTAAAATTGATGCGCCAAAACATTCAAGGGCTTTTAGTAGCGTGTGACACCCATATGCTAGCTTGGAGCATGTCTTTTGTATATGCGATTTCCAGTTCATGTCCGAGTCAAACATGACCCCCAAGTACCTAAACGAGGCTACTGGCTGTAGCAGTGCCGTATCTAAAACCAAGTTGAAACCTGCAAAGTCGAGTTCTTTTTTCCTAGAGTGAAAGGTCATGTATTTAGTTTTCTCTGTGTTGATATTTAGGTGGTTTCGTTTAAACCATACTTGTACTCTCTGTAACTCTTCGTTAATTTTATCTTGAATGTCTCTTAAGCTGTCACCAACAAAGATTAGTGCCGTATCGTCTGCGTACACTAAAACTTCTGAATATAGTAGGATGAAGGGAAAATCGTTAACGTACAGGGAAAAAAGAGTGGGTCCAATAACTGAGCCTTGTGGTACCCCAGAGACTATTGATTGAGTAGAGGACTCGACACCATTCATCACTACTCGTTGCTGGCGGTCGGGTAGGTATGACTTGAGAAGCTGGTGAATGTGGCCTCAAAAACCGTAGTCATGAAGCTTACTTAACATGATGTTGTGATTGACGGAATCGAAAGCTTTTCTTATGTCTAAAAAAACATTCAAAACTCCGGATGAAAACATATTTACATTGGCCAGTACTCCTAGCTTTTGTAAAGGTTTTGCCAAAACTCTTTGTAGAACACTTTGAGAATATATGATTCGGCATGAGTTTTATTTATTCAACGCTGCTGTGGCAACTAGCACAGTACCTCATAATGTTGACATTTTTCTATTTCAGTAACTTTACAGCAGTCTAATTTTTGTTAAAAGTATTATTACCATTCGGCGTTTCACGTCCCAAAACGAAGATTTGATATCACAGATGCCTTACTGGAAGGCTTCAGAAATTTTGACCATCTGGTATTTTAATAATTTGCACTGACATCACAACGTACAAGGCACTCTAGAACTCTGCCTCTATCGAAATGCGCCTACCACAGCCGGATTTAGATTGGCAACCTTCAGGTAAGTGGCCTAGAACTGCAACCGGCACACCACCTCTGCGACTGGCTTCTGGCAAAAATATATATTGAACCCGAAAAAATAGCTTTATTGTTAGTCCTTGTTAAGTATTTCTAATCGCAACAGTACTGTTGACATGAGTTTGTAGAATCATTGCAGAGAAACGTATACTGTCACCCAACATGTGTGCAGGCAATGAAGGATGGAGTGCAAAATGCGTATACCTGATCTTATATGCCTTTGCTATAAGGAGTGACTATTCAACTTGTCGTCCATGATATTATGAGGGCGTCCATTACAGATAGTATGTATACATTAGTATCTGTAGTACCTGTGAAGTAATGTATGCCATATTATTGAGTTCATTACACTGGTCTTCCAACCATACCCATTTAAACAGTCAAACTATTGTCTGTCATTGTCATGTCTGCCTAGGTAGTTCAGTAGCTAACGCGCTCGGCTGCTAACTTCAAGGCTGCGGGTTTGATTCCGGTTGCTGTCGTCGCATTTCGGTGAAGATGAACTGGTAGAGGCCAGTGCACTGTGCAATGTCACTTCACGTTAAAAAACACAACATAGTCGAAATTTGCGGAGCCTTCTACTACGACGTCTCTCGTAATCACATTGTGGTTTTGGAATAGGAAACTGTACGCAACGTTAAAATATCACTATCAACAGTGTTTAAGCTTCTTCAAGCGATGTAAGTCTTACCATGAGGTGAGAGTTTTTCAGTTCGGAATTCAAGAACGTGAAGCCCCTTGGGAGGTGCGTTTATGTCGTTAAGCTTCAGCACTTGCTTTTGTTTGTCGCGATAGTAGTCCAAACTATACGTATCGGAAAACCCAAGGTTTAAATATGTCTCAGCCGTTTTTTTCTCGTGAGCAAGCGTTAGTGAGCTTACATTTCTGAAAAATGTGAAGAAAGCAGAAAAAGAAAAAATGCTGGACCAGTTGATTATGTATTTGTTCGAAGGCAGCACAGAACCTAAGAAACAGACACCACATTCATGAGCAAGTTTTATTTGTATTTACAGGATCGCTAAATAACTCTGAATTCATTGACAAGGGAGAGGTTTATTAGTAGCCTTCATTGCCCTTGCTAAGAACGATATTTTCCCCAGCCACCTATTATTTCATAACGCACGAGTACAGTATCAGGAATAATTTTTAAACCAATCAGGATTTTTGTCAGTTTGACGCTTTTATCTCTGCTCTTGCTATAGAAAACCTGATCCATACACATAACAGATAATGGGCAGCTAATTAGGATTACGACTGCTTACTTTATGATTCAATTAATTACAGTGATCAATTAGAGCGCCAGATATGTAAGTGAAAATTTATAAATTTATTCTAGTAATTTTGCGTTAAATTCCTTAGAACTTGTATTTCCCTATTACAGTAATCATAACGGAAAGAAGCGCTAAATCTTGCGTAATCATTCCTAAATAACCTAATAGATGCGCAACAGGAACAGGGAGAAAAAAGTGGACTACACGAGTGCTGACTCACAACTGGAAGCTTTATTGCTTGAAACTGGCTTACGCCCGCGCATACTTGCCATGAACAAGGCAAAAAAATAAATACAAATTATAAATGCCCTTCCCTATCTCCCGGATCAGCTGTCTTCTGTGCTTGAGTAGTTTTTCATTCTTATTTACACTGGCAATCTCTTTCTATGATCCCATCTCATTCTGCTTTCAGATAGGAACTGGCCCTTTTTGTTTTCAACAATGCATAAACGTTCTCCGTTTCGCCGATTTCAGCGAAAATCACAAACCAGCCTGTTAACAAGAAAGCAGTGAGTGATACCCAATAAGCTGTCAATACAGGATAGGTTGACACTTGGTGCATTATGAGGCAAAACGTTCCTAAAATATCATGAATATCTGACACATTACTTTGACACGTCTTCAAAGGTGTCATGCTGAAAGGTGTCATGCTGAAAATGTCATGCTGAAGTGCTGAAGGTGTCATGCTGAATGAAGTGTTTCATTCGGTTTGCTTTGTAAAAAACGAGAGCTTACGTGTGTGGTCCGTCATAATGAAATATAAGAGTGAAGGCGAAATGCGCGCCGAAAGTCGAAGGGAAATACAGCTTGAATTGCGACTTGTCAGATTTGAATCCACCCTGCGAGGAAATGTGTAAAAGTGAAATGTTTTTAAATCGTGTTCCTTTGAGCCGCATTACATGCGCTGTATTGCGGTCTAGTTTTGGTGACACGAAATGTACAGTCTTAATCGCCATTGTATGGAGTGGCTGGTCGACTGCTTCAGCTGTCGTTTTATTTCGAATCCATGCAGACACGGATGTCATAGTCATAACAAACTTAGTGATACCACATGCTAAGTCCTCCTGATATATCTAACATAAAATCTGCATTGAACGCCAGGTATCATCCTACAGCCACGCACTCTACCGCTCTATACAATTGGAATCAAGACTGTACGTCAATGCTAGCTCTCGATGATGTTACGTGAACGAATGCTATCGATAGACGGCAACGCTATACCTCGTTGCACTACCTCATCTTTTACCATCACGAGCAGGCAGATAGTTCCATTTCGTCCCAGGCTTTAGTATTAGGTCCAGTAGCACTCTAAGCAAATCATTAAAAATGCCAGACAGCTTGGGTTGCTTTCATTATATTTGAAAGTAAATCTCGATTTATAATGTATTTACTAAGTAATCTTAAACAATATGAACAGCACCTTAGGTCAGCGGTGTATAGAACATGGTTATGCGTTATGTAAATATCTGCTGTGTTCTTTAACCAAATTTTTACGGTTTAAATATAACTGTTCGCGTGTTCTCCGCCTTCTGCTGAAACTGCCCATCGAAAATTTCAATAGCTATTTGTTTCTATGAAATTTCCTGGCAATATACTGCAAATATAAGGGCAAATTATCATATCAAATATAAGGCCAACACGTCTATGTCAGGACAGTACGTTATATGCTGCAAATATAAGGGCGCCACGTTTATATCTTTTGTGGAAGTATATGGGTTTTTGCAACGACTATAGTGAACTAGTATATTCTAGTTTACTTTAGCAATGCCATAAAGAAAACGAAAGGTTCAGTAGGGTTCTTATCAGCATCTGAAGGACTTTGCTG